ACCAGAATTTTATCCTAAGTTCGGTCTATTTTTTAGGTGGGCCCCGTGCGTCAATTTTCACGGGTCAAAGTGGTAACGCGTTCTATGCCGCGTTGTGATTCACGTTGTATATTTGGTTGCTCAAAACCATTACCAAGTGAATGGGAAATTGAAGCCAAAGTGTGCTTCATGAAATGGAGTTTTGGTGGAAATTCCTTAAGGTTATAAAATGGCTTGTCCCACATTGATTTGGTGGGAAGTTTTGAATGGGTTTATAAGGCTTGGGTTTGGTACTTGGGGTGTGCCCTAAGGGGTACACAAGTGTTTCAGAGGGAGAGGTTATGGGCAAAATGGGCTAGACCCATTGGACCCAAAAATCACCACACACGCGCGCGCGCGCCGCCATCGGTCCGGTCGGGCGGGCTGGGCTAGGCTGGGCCTGGGCTTGGGCGCGGGTGCGTGGTGTGAGGTTGACCCGATACTAATCTTTTTGGGCCAAAAACATTTGAATTTAATTTTATTTTTTGATAAAATAAAATTCATAATTCAAAATTAAACTGGTTTGGTTTTACTGTACATCCAAACTGGGCCCTTCCCGAAATAAACCAGTCTGGTATTATTGCACACCCAAACAGGGCCCTTCCCGTTTTGTTATCTGTTTGAAATATAACCCAACAGATTCAAATCTGTTTGAATTCAAAACCAACAGGTTTCATACCTGTTCAATTCAAAACCAATAGCCACCTTTACATCTATAAATAGACTAGCCTCCCATTTGGATTTTAACTCCAATTTTCGTACTCCATCCTCTGATATAAATCTCTGCATTTTGCTACATTTATTTTCTGAAAGAAAGAGTGTAAACACTTAGTGTGTTCGTAAGGCAAACAATTTGTAATGCTGCTATTGTTTGTAGTAGATCATTTCATTCTGGGAGATAGACGTCCAATTTCTGAAAGCACCGTGGAGAGGATGAATCTGTCTTAAGGACAGAGTATCAAATACTGGACTTGATCAGATTATAATTCGAAGAAATTAAATCAAGTAAGTTATTTAATTTATTTTCAATGTTTTATTATTTATTTAAATCAGATTTTAATTTTGTTTTTGTAACAAAATAAAATCTGTTTTTATTTTTTTATTTTTATTTTTATTTCGAGTTTGATTTTTGTAATCAAACAAATTCTCTCATTTCCTTTATTTCTTTATATTCTGGTTGTTGTTTAGTACATAACAGAATTTAATTAATTTAAATACAGTGAAGATTGTCCTACAGACTCTAAACCTATAGAGGTTGGTTTGGGTCGCGACAGAGTGGTATCAAAGCATGAGTTAATATCTCACACACTTGTCCATTGACCATAAGAATGTTTAGAACGGATTTAAGTTGCATGCATCTAGTAAGTGAGTGATGAATTGTGCATTCAGATAAATGTATGTGTGTTTGTTTAACAATTTAAGTATTAAAGCTAAAATTAAGCGCTGTAACGGATTTTGATAATTATAAGAGGACTGAAATGTGTTTGTTTTGTTTAATAAGTGTGGTATTGGGGCTAAGAGCCAAGAACTATTGAGGAACTTTTTCACATTATAAGGAAATATTAGTGAGTACAAGTATAAAAATTTGTGAGAATATAGTATTATGAGAATTAAAGGTTATTTTGGAATTTCGACGATTAAAGAAGATTGGGATGTGTTTGTTTAATAAGTTTAGTATTGAAATTATGAGTTATTGTGAAATTTTTAATGCTATAAGGGAAATAAAATTTTTTATTATAGCACATTGGTGAGTACAAGCATATTGCTGAGTGTGAATATGGTATTATATGGAATTCAAATATGTGATGGAAGTTATGAAAGCTATGTGGTTAAATGTAAAATTAGACTATGAGAACATTTTGGGAAGTTGAAGTATTTGATGATCAATGAAGTGTATGGAACTATGGTGATTGAAAGTTAGAAAATTATTTGATATGAGAATGATATGCTGTTTTGGTGAGGGACCTACTGTATGAACCATAGAGTCTCATACCTTTGTTGAATGATCTTGAAAGTCCGATTGGAATCATATTTGGCCGGCGTAATTTTGAATCGGAAATTATTGGTCAACTTCATGGGAATGAATAGGTTGCCCTACCAATATCTTTGAATAATTGTTTGATTTATGGTTGAATTTGTGATGTATTGTCTAAGCGGCCAATATTATCCCAAATGCTATCTATCTTGTCTTGTGACTTTAAGAAAAGATAATGAGAAGTAAGATGAAACGGAAGTCAAGTTCTTGTTGAAGAAATTGGGAAAAATAGAAGAAGTGTTAGAAAATATAATAAAATCTATACAGTAATGCTAAGGGAAACCGCAAGACCAAAATGAAAAGTAAAATGCTAAGCCAAGAAGGAATTACAGAATATGTCTAAGAAGTAGGGCATTCATTGTCAAGTAAAATTTGAAGAGACAAGTAATTTTAAGTTAGATATAAGTTCATTCCCCAAATGTTCGATTTGTTGCAAATATTATACCGGGTGTGTTATTGAATTTCAAGAGCATACTTCAAATGTGGAGCGATAGAACAGCTAACGAAAGATTATTCAAAAATAATTATAATGATGAATTTTAAGGAGGGCTTCAAGTTAGCTAATTATTTTGAAGATTACCTAACCCAATTGTTAAGTGAAGGAGTATTATAAACATGCGCATAGAATTTTGGGTTTCTTATATCATACATGATTTGCTTATCTGAGTTTTTCTTATCTAATGTTTGATAGACTTAGGATACATTTACTTGGATTTTTGGGACTCGACCCGAGACTGCTAAGGTTATTAGAATTTGACCAAGACTTAAATTTATTGTAATGAACCTCTTGACACAAAAGAATTTGAATTGACAAAATTGCGAAGAATTGGGAAAGACAAAAGTTTAGTTCCAAATAATTTGATGATAGCTTTGATGCCACTTGAAGGTTAAAATAAGATACATATACACCCAAGAATTAGAATGTGTATGGGAATAATGAATTGTAAATCATTCATACCAATGTAATGCTTGCCAACAAGGGAATCAAAGAATGTATTTGGAAATTTGTGGCGATAAGCATATGTTTAGTAAAAGCAAGAAGTATTAAGTTAGAATTGGTATTCTTATAATTGCTTGATCGGCTATTGGAGAGTTTAGAATTCATTTGCTTGAATAAATGAATCTTAACCTGAAATGCTAAGATAATTAGATTGAGAACACTTCAATGTACTAAGACCGCTATTTCGAATGCCTAAGTCATTGTGAGCAAGATATTTGTATGATTAGTTCAGGACCCATTCGTTTACATGACTCATTTGATTATAAAAGGAGTTTATCATTGGGGTTAATATTATTTGTTAAGTGTTTCTTTGATATCTGGAGAATCTATACTATTGAATGTTGTAGTATGGATTTAATTCAATGCCCTTTTTATGGATTATCAGAGTGTGTGATAAGCAAGTTATTTTTGGCTTCTGAATGTAAATGATTCTTTTGTGAAAGTAATAGAGTGTGTCCCCATTTGTCAATAAGGCACATGAATTGTATGAAAATGAACGGAAATGCTACAGACCCCCCACTGACAACCCCCAGTGACGTGTCGCACTGGGGTTGGCTGAAAATAAAAATAAAAAAACAAAACAAAACAATTTTTTTGTCCAATAGGAGCCGACCGCCAGCACCCCCAGCTGGGGGTCTAAGTCATTTTTCGAAAATGAATATTCCGATTATTGTGGACCAAGATTTGAATTTGTTATTATGATTGTATCAGGTACTTAACTTATTTTGAAGGCTTCATATGGACGTCAAAGATAGATTTGAATTTGTTATTATGATTGTATCAGGTACTTAACTTATTTTGAAGGCTTCATATGGACGTCAAAGATAGAATATCTTGATCCATAATCATGAATATCATTTGAGATTAAGCCTTGATTATTTGGGAAATATGTGAATCATTCGGAGATATGTGAATAGCTAAACAAAATATATGAGTTTTATGTTTTAATGTTATGAAATTGACTTCGAGACCCACCATTATTTTACATAATGATTTTTGGTGACTAAGCCAATTTAGGGTATTAATCTATAAGTAAATGATAATGAGTTGAACTCCTGTAACGAGATTTTAGTGGTAAGGAAGTTGCTTGAGAAAAAAAGAAAAAATAAAAAAAAGAGTGGAATAAGACAAAGCGGTATGATTTATTTGCTATACAAGTGACTAAAGTTTAGAGGACCAAACTTTCTAAGGAGGAGAGATTGTGACGACCCCACCACGTAAAATATTTTACATTTAATTAATCAAGGTGATTTAGATTTTAATTAATTATTATTCCGATTTAATTGTGGAATTGATGAACAATATTGGGGTTGGTTTGTATATAATTTTATAAAGAGTTTTTTTGGAATTAGAAATTAAAAGCTTTAGTGGCTCAAGAAGATGAAATTAAAAATTTGAAATATTTTAATTTCGAGTATCGGACCATATAAGAGTTTAATTAAATATTCGATTCAGTTTAATAAAATTGAGATTTTATTAATTGGGTCCGAATTAGAGTTGATCAAGTTATGAAGGTTGGGAATTGAGATAATTATTAATTAAATTCATTTATGAGGTGTTGAATTGAATATGTAATTTATTGACGGAGATTTTAAGTTTGATCATAAATTGAAGGCCTTACTGGTGTGAGAAATCAAAATTGATAATGGAAATAAGTATAATTTAATATTTGGAACCTTTTTGGAGTTTGATTAAAAATCTAATTCAGACTGATAATTTAAATATAATAATTGAGCATTAATGGAAGTCAATTGGACTGATTAAGATTAAGAAGTGATTAATTAAGCTAATGTATAATTAGTGTGCTAAACTAATCCTAATATACATCACCACATGGATTAATTCAAGATGGACAAGTGTCCCACCATTTTAATATATATATATATATATATAAATTAAAAAAAAAGGAAAAGAAAGTGGAATAAAGAAATGGGTGTAGTACATTGAAGCTATACATCATCTATGTTTTTGTTTTTAGCTGGAACAAGAACAGCCGAGTGAGAGAGAGAGAAAACCGTGAGAGAGAGAGAGAGAGAGAGAGGTCAATTCTTTAAAACTTGCTGGAAATTTTGAAGAAAAACTAAGGAAGCTAGGAGAAGTGAAGAAGTTGTCAAGAAAACACCAAATTGAAGACTAAAGGTAAGGATTTCAAGCTTGAATTTTGCAGAATCTTTGTATTACACTTTAATTAAAGATGAGTTTGGGTTCAACTTCATATAATTTGGAAGAAATTAGAAAACAAAGATAAAGAAATTAAGATAGGCTCATGGTTGTGGAAATTTATTATTTTCGGTTTGATGATGTAGTTTTGCATGAAATTAAGCCTCATTGTTACATGCATGGGCAAATTCTACAAGTTTAATACTCTAATTAAACATGTATCATAGGATTTCAAGGTTTTGAGATTTTAATTCATGTTTAAAAGGTTTATGAATTTGAATTTGGGTTTGATACGAAGAAAACTAATAACAATCCAAATAAGTGCTATTTTAATTAAAATTATTTAGTTTTGATCTTAATTTCATATATGCAAAGTTTCAAAACTCCAATTTCATGATTTAAAGGAAAATAGAAAAGAGTTAAGAATCAATTTCATATAATTTCAAAGAAATTAGAAAAAGGGTAAAGGAATTGAATTAAATTCAAATTGTAGAAATTAAATTCGAATGGAGCATTTTGTGGGTTTGATTTTTGTTGTCTTGCATAAATTAGAATTTTAATTGCACATGCATCATGAAATTTAAGAAGATTTGAAAATTTGATTTCATATTCTGAAGAGGAAAAAAAAAAGGAAAAGTTTTGTAAACACAAGTTTATGGAAATTTAGAGTTTAATCTTGAATTAAAAGAGTTGGATGTAAATGGTTAGAAATTAATCATGTTTTCTTGATTGTTAAAAGAGATTATATGGTTTTAACAAAGTTGTGCAAGACCCGAAGTATTGAATTGGAATCTAGAAGCACAACTTTTTAACTTTGAAAATCCAAAATTTTTACAGATCGCTTGAGTGACCAAATGGTGGCTCGAGCGAACATTATGAGCTCCCAGTATTTTTAAAGAGCTTTGCAGACCGCTCGAGCGACCAAAGGTGCGCTCGAGCGAAGATCTTGTTTTTAGCAATTTTTGACTAACTCTTTTAAGTGCCTACTTGCATCCTCATGACATTCTAAGTATTATTAGGCACCAATTGGACTCACATAGTCATGGAATAAGCTAGAAATGCATAAAGAGAGTTGAATTAAAATTAAAGAAATATTGAATGGTGCTTCTATTGTGTTTTTGCTATGTGATTTGTATAGGTGGACGTTCGAGGCCTTATATCGACTTAACCCACTGTGAGTAACAATTTTATAAAGATATGTTCAAGTTATGCTTACTTTCAAAAATGTTATTGCTATCGAAATTGATATATGATTGACTGAATGGGTTATTGAAAATGTTATGATGATTGACGGAAAGGTCTATTGAAACATTATTTTCTTATGATGAATGAAGTTTTGTTTTGAAATTGTATTTTGGTATCCATGGAACATAAGCCTTTGCCTGGGGGAGACAATACCATGGCTAGGCCCTTGCTTGGTAGAGATAATACCATGGCTAGGCCTTTGCCTGGGGAAAACAATATCCTGGCTTTTAGATTGATTGACACACAAAGATCTCTAGTGTTAGACCGTTATGGGCCATTGTTATTGGAATACTGTTACTCTATTAGATGTACCACGCAAATTGTCATTGAATGGGTATTGCTATTGGGATAACATGGATTATTGAGAATTGAATTGAAATTGCAATTGTATTGAAAATGCTATCAAACAATGGTTTTTATTATTACAAGGGATTGATATGATGGCTAATCAATTTGTTTTGCCTATTGAAATAGACTGTTTCGGAAAATGAAATATATGTTTTGGTAAGGGATTTGATATGGAAAATGTTTTGTTATAAATTTAATATAATATGGCAAATGCCTTATTATGAAAATAATTTAAGAATCGTTTCGAAATTGTAAGATAGGTTTTTTGTATTATCGTTGAACTTCATTCATTTAACCTCTTTATTCTGTTATTAGTTGCTGGCCTTTAGCTAACTATTTATATGTATATGCAGGTGAGCAAACTGAGCAAAAAAGATAGAGAAAGTCTCGGAGTCTAACTGTGTCAGCCTTTAAAAAGCTTCACGAATGGAGCAAGTTAGGCTCGAGTAAAGCAAATAAAATCAACCCCTTAGCTTTGTCAAAGTTTGGTATTTTGTTGAGTTTTAAATGTATATGTGTGTGAGATATATAAGATTTGTACATGTAAACAAATTATTATTGTATCATGTAGGGACAAGCTTAATGGACATTATTGTTTTTGTTTTGCTTTTGCTTTAGGCCCCGATATGATTTTAAATATTTTGAAATTTTGTCTTTGAGGCCGATGGTAATCTAGGATTACTGGAAGTTATGACTCTAAATCTATAAGGGCGGGTTCAGGTCATGACACTTGGATTTTATTTTATTTTTGTGGAGAATTTTATCTCTTTTTGAGATCTTGTGATACTGTCGTACATATTGATATCAATTTTGCAATAAAAAAAAAATCCTAATCTAAAAAAATGCATTTAGAGCTGGCTTTTTCCAAGTTCAAATTTAATTGATTGTTATGTTCGAACTCCTTAAACCTACCTCGTATCTCATTTTAATAATTATAACTGTTTATTTTATATATTCATTGATTTATATTTTCTATTAAAAAAAAATTAAATTAGTCTAATAATTATAATATTTTCTATTTTATCGTGATTGTTTTTGAAAAAATAAACCACAAATGATTTTGCTTTAACCGAATAGATTAATTTCACTTTTATTTTTTATTTTATTTCAAACAAACCATTTACCTTATTTGGTTTTGATTGATTTTTTGAAATTTGAGTTTTTTTTTTTTGTATATTTTTTTTAGTGAATTTTTTTAATATTTGAAATAATTTTTTTTTTTACTTTTTAGATGCATCTAAGAGCATGTCCAATGATTGTTGCTATAATACCATTGCTATTGCCATAATTTGGCTGTGAATAGTGTTATTTTTCCAAATTATAGCAATGATGCTCCAATGGTCATTTGCTATGTTGGCAAATCTCAACCAACTTTCCCTCCAAGTTTATAGGTATTGTTTGGATATAGGTTTTTTTTGTGATTTTATTTTTGTTTATTTTTTGTCTTTTGTGAACTTTTTTCAACTGTTTGTAAAAAAAAATTATATATTTATATTATTCCCGATTAAACAAATATAAAAATTGAAAAGAAATTGAAAAATAGGGGAAAAAAAAATATAATTCACCCCACCAAAAAACATATCACTACATATTTAATTAATTTTTTTAACTATATTTAAAAAATAAACAATCACCAATTACTCATCAATAATCATTCATCATTCACCCAACATTCATTCACCAACAACCACCAACCAACAACCATTCAAATTGAAAAATAGGGGAAAAAAATATAATTCACCCCACCAAAAAACATATCACTACATATTTAATTAATTTTTTTAACTATATTTAAAAAATAAACAATCACCAATTACTCATCAATAATCATTCATCATTCACCCAACATTCATTCACCCAACATTCATTCACCAACAACCACCAACCAACAACCATTCATTATTCACCCAACATTCATTCACCAACAACCACCCACCCACCAAAAAATCACTCAAAGAGACAACTATTTGCGAGGTTGCAAGAGGCATGTCCGAAGGATGTCGAAAGGGCATTTGGAGTGCTTCAAGCACGATTTAATATTGTCAGAGTTCTAGCTAGAGGTTGGAGTGATGAGGATCTGTATTACATCATGAAGACGTGCATTATTTTGCACAATACGATCATTGAAGATGAGCGTAATATTCCAGAAAATGAACGTAGTGCAGCATTTCAGATTGATACCAGTAATACCCGTTGTCAAGTGTCACGCGATCCAAATGAGGAGTACGCTCAATTTATGTTGAATCGACAGAGGATTAGATCTATTGCAGCCCATAATGCAATTCGTAATGATCTAATTGAACACTTGTGGTCCTAAGCTGGAGAGTTAGATTAAGTTTGTATTTTATCTTTTTAATGACCGTTAATATCATTTAATGTCTTTTTATTATAATAAAATTATCTTCATTTAATGTATTTTATCTTTTTATTGCCTTCATTTGAAAAAATATATTTATTTTTTCATTATACTTTATTGAAAAATTTAAATGATACTAAAAAGTCAACAATATACATTGCAAAAATAATATTACATTCTTTTGTAGAAAATACTCAAAAAAAAAAAATGAAATTTCATGACAAAATAAAAAAATGACATTACAAATAAAGACTAACAATTACATTAAAAAATAAATGACATTGAAAACTTTAAAAATACATTATCTCGTAATTATTCATTAGGAGGCAGAGGGAAATAGTAATTTGGGCTGCTGACATCTGAGGACCACTTGGCGAAAATCTCATTTTTTTGCATTGTGTAATACGCTTTCATCTGAAGGTCCAAATGAGAAATGTCCGTAGTCATTATCATATGTTCTTTCTTTTGCATCTCAAAGTCATCTTTTTTCTTCTCAAGTTTTTCCAGCTCTTGCAATGCTTGAATTCTTTTTTATTCTCTTTCATCTTTTTTCTTTTCCTTCTCAGCAAGGTGTTGGTTAAATGTCTCTAATTATATGCTTATTTTTTGGACTTCAGCTTTAAAGACTTGATTTATCCGAAATAATTCTTTTGCAACTTTCCTACCCATAGGCTTTTTACCCCTTGTAGAGACACTACCCTCACCAACAGTTGGATTGTCACCAATACTTGGACTGTTGTCGTCTTCAAGAGAAATACAGTTATCCATAGGGGAATCAGGGGCTAAATTAGGAGTAAACGGTGTATGCATCCTTGACTTTACCATATTCGTAGGAGCTGCATCTTGCTACCTAATATTGTTTTGCAAGATTGACCAACAATGTTCAAAAGCAAAATGTTTGTTTTCATCTTGATGGTATAACAGTTTTGCTTGAAGCATCTGTATTGAAAATTAATTAATTAGTTAATTTTTATACGGTACCAAAATAAAAAACTAAACATAATAACTAAAGATGAAAACTTACTATATCAACTTGAGATATTCCAATTGGGTGAAGATTTTCGACTTGCGCTAAACACCCTTGAAATTTGTTGGAACATTTCATGATTATACCCCATCGAGATTGTATAGACACTTGTGTTCTTGACCGATCATTCTGAAGCATACAATAATTTTCGTAAATTCTCCCTCAAAAGTGAGCATACGATTGCGAATTGCCAACAATTAGGTCTTCCAAAATGTGACACCAAGATTTACAAATTTCTATATCTTCTTCAATGGTGAATGATTTTCCTCTCTTTGTTTTTGATAAAACTTCCATAATAATTGTATGAAAAAACCAAAAAGAAAATAATTTTGAAGGTTTGCTGTGAAATCAAATTCAGAGAAAGAGAGGAGAAAAGAAAAATGAAATCCAAATATTTGTTGTGAAATAAAATTGACATGGAGGGTTTCTATTTATAGAAATTCAAAATATTGCTGTTTGAAAATAACAGTCGTTTGAAGATAGTTGTTGTCATAATTTTTTTTTTTTTTAAAAACCAAACAGAGCACAACGGCTCTTTTAAGAAAAAGTGAGAGATCACAACCATCCACGTATATATGTTCAATGGTTGAGATGATTTCTCTAGAATCATCCAACCCTATCTTTGACAGAAATGCACTGTCTTCCTTCTCCATCTCACTTTGTCTTCTCTCTCCTCAAACCAGTCTTCCCTTCTCCTTTATCATCGAAACGTCTTTCTCTCTCTCTCTCTCTCTCTCTCTCTATTTTCACTCTCCCTCTCACTTTCCTCTTTCCTTTTCCTTCTCCATCATGGAAACGTCTCTTTCTCTCTCTCTCTCTCCCCCCTCTCTCTCTCTGTGTGTGTCTCTATCCTTAAGCTCAAGCCTTCACCAATCTCTCTACTCTTTGATCTCTCTCTTTCTCTCACTCTCGCTCTGTCCTTGGTTCCAAGTCTTCACCTCCACACAATCGCCTCCCATTACTTCTCTATGTGTGTGTGTGTATGTGTCTCTGGTACAATCTACATCTATATACATACTCATATATATATATATATGCTTTGATTTTTTGTTTATTTTTCTGGTTATTGATATGGATCTAAGGTGATCACGATTTTTGAAACTCAGGTCTCACGATAGCTTCAACCTAGATCTTCAAAGAACTCAAGAATCTCCAGAAGGATCATCAAAGAATACAATCGCTGGAATGTTTGCTAAAATTTTCTTAATTATTTATTTTGATTTTTGGTTTAATTTTTGTTCATCCATTTATTTTATTTTGATCTTCAAAGAACTCAAGCCTATTTTTGGTTTGGTTTGTTGTAATAATATCCATCTAATTTTTACACTCCGTTTGGATTGACTAATTTGGTGGTAAATGATTAAAAAAAAATTAATAGAAATCGAATTTGGGTTTGTCAAATTTATTCTGAATTTTGTGAATTTGGCAACAAAATTGAAAATTGGGTTTGATTCTGAATTTTGTGGGTTTTCTACTGTTCAATTATGTTTTTTCAACTGAATTTGGTACCAAAAATCTATTGATATTTGCTGATCTGGCAAGTTTGGCAGCTACTATTTAACCTGCCAAATTTGACAATAGAAATGGCATTTGCTATCTTTGGCAAATAGAATAGCAGGCCATTGGAGACCCTCTTTTTGTCATTCTTGTCAAATTTTAGCTTTGGCAAGTTGAATAGCAACTCCATTGGAGATGCTCTAACCTAGATGTACTTAAAAAATAAAATATTTGTAAAAAAATATTTTAAAAATTAATAAATACAAAAGCATACGAAATATACTTTTTTTTCCCCTCTTTTTTAGTGATTTTTTTTTTAAAATCTAAAATATTATAATTCTTAAGTGTATTTATATTAAGAATATTTAAAAACTAAAAACTTTGCTTAAAATATTTTTAAAAAATCAAGAAAAACAAAAAAACTTAATTTTCTAAAAAGTGAGCTTAAGCTTTTGAAATTAAACAAGATAAACTATCAACCTTGTTAGGTCCCTTTATTGTCAAATTTGCGTACAAACTTTGTTTTGATAAAGTTGTAATTTTTCCTAGTTTTTTGTCTTTCCCGCTCGAGCGGAACCATTGGCGCTCGAGCGTAATATGGGATGTTTCAGTAGTTTATCAGGTTTGTAAAAAATACTGAGATGTGTGATTTCGCACTCGAGCGTATGTTCTCGCGCTTGAGCGGAACTCTGTTTTGTCGCACACATGTTTTGTTGAAGCCGCTCGAGCAGAGATCGCGGACTTTGTTCTCCTATATATATCTGTTTAGGCTGATCTTAGGGTTTACTTTTCCTAGATCTTATTCAAGAGTCCTAGGGTTTTGTTTGAGGTTTTCTTCTGAGGTTTTTGTGAGTTTTCCCTGATAAAATTGAATGAGTATTCAAC